CAATGTTTCCCATGGCCGGACACGGTTGGCTCATGACTGTAAGTCCAGCACTTTGGGAGGCTGAGGTGCGGGATCACAAGGTCAAGAGATCGAGACATCTGGCCAACATGATGAAACCCCGTTCTACTAAAATACAAAATTAGCTGGAGTGGTGGTGTGTGCGGTCTGTATCCCAGGCTACTCAGAAGGCTGAGCAGAGGGAATCACTTGAACCGGGAGATGGAGGTTGCAGTGAGCTGAGATCGTGCCTTGCACTCCAGCCTGGAGACAGAGCAAGACTCTGTCTCAAAAAAAAAAAAAAATCCCAATGCTTTTTTCCTTTTATAAAACACAAATAAATAAGAGGCCACTCTCTTATACAACCTGGGGAAACTTTAAACATCTCAATCAAGCCAAATCCTCAGGTACACCAAAGCCATGAGACACTGCAGCAGTTTCACATTTTTTTTTTTTTTTTTTTTTTTTGAGACGGAGTCTGGCTCTGTCACCCAGGCTGGGATACAGTGGCCGGATCTCAGCTCACTGCAGCTCCGCTCCGGGTTTACGCCTTCTCCTGTCTCAGCCTCCGAGTAGCTGGGACTACAGGCGGCCAGTCACCTCGCCCGCTAGTTTTTTGTATTCTTTAGTAGCGACGATGTTTTCCATGTTGGTCAGGTGGTTCGGTCCTTCCTGACTCGTGATCCGCCCGCTTTCTCGGCCTCCAAGTGCTGGATTTACCAGGCTTGAGCCACCGCGCCAGCAGCTTTTGTATTTTTGCTAGAGACGGGGTTTCTGCATGTTGGTCAGGCTGGTCTCGAACTCCTGACCTCAGGGATCTGCCCACCTCAGCCTCCCAAAGTACTGGGATTACAGGCGTGAGCCACTGCGCCTGGCTGTAGTATTTTTAATTTTAAAATACACTTGAACATGTGGAATATGATTTTTTTTGTATGAAGAAAAAATTTTAAAATCTAGAAAAAGAAGAGAATAAGTATGACAAACGTGCGATCCTGCCACCACTGACAAATGCTTGCACCTGAAGTTCTTGCCCTTTTTCTTTGAAAAGAGCTAAAATGTTAATATGTGTAACTGAAATTTCCTTTATACCACTCTCCAGTTTAATTCCTCTCTCCTCTTTTGTTCTAACTGTTAACAGATATTTGGTGTGTATAGTTTTCCTGTCTCTTTTCAGGATATATATTATATCACTGATATGTATTATTTGTCAATATTCTAGATTGTTGTGTTTTAAAACATTTATGTGATTATTATGTTATTATTGTTATCCCACTTGCTTGTTTACTCCACAAATGTGTTTAGATCTATCTAGTCTTGTTGAAGTATCTATAGCTACATATTTGTAGTTACTTCATTTAAACTGTCTTATAGTATTGCATCTTAGGACTGAAATTATTTGTTACCCATTTGTTAAAGGATATTTAGGTTGTTTAAAATTTTTTCCTGTTATGTGCACTGCCACAGTGAGCTTCTATTTTAAGTTGTTTTGTTTTGTTTTTGAGTCAGGGTCTCACTGTGTCACCCAGGCTGAAGTGCAATGGCGCAGTCATGGCTTACTGCAGCCTCGACCTCCTGGGCTCAAGCAATCCTTTTGCCTTAGCCTCCCGAGTAGCTACAACTACAGGTGTGAGCCACCACACCCAGCTAATTTTTTATTAATAAATTTTTTGTGGAGATGGGTTCTTAATGTGTTGCCCAGACAGGTCTGTAACTCCTGGCCGTGTGTTCCTCCCACCTAGGCCTCCCAAAGCAGTGGAATTACAGGTATAACCCATCGTGCCTGGCCTTAACATTTAAGTGAAAATTAACTTTTTCCTTATTATGTAAGCAATCATGTCTTCGTTATTGAAAATATAAAAATGTAAGCAAGCAAAGAGAAGAAAACAAACATACATAATTTCCCAATCCCATCTATCTGGAATCAACAAGTGTTAAATAACCCTCTGGTATATATTTTCCAGACTTTGTCAATATCTGTGTTCATGTTGTGTATGCATATAGTTATGTGTGCATGGTGGGTGTATATATTAAACAAATAGGAAGGTGCTTTACTATTTGGTTGCTTGCTTTTTTTTCATTTTAATAATCAACTTCATGAGATGAATAGTTTTTAAAAAATCAATAGATTATAAAGTAATATATTGTACAATAGCACAGAAGTTTATAAATCAGAATTTCTTCTCTGTGTCCTCTCTTCTAGTCTTGTTTGTACATATCCAGATCACTAAGTACTTTTTTTATTTTTTTGAGACAGGGTCTCACTCCTGTCGTCCAGGTGTGAGTGCAGTGGCGCGATCACGGCTCATTGCAGTCGCGACCTCCTGGGCTCAAACAATTCTCCCGCCTCATTTAAAAAATTTTTTTTTTGTAGAGAAGAGGTCTTACTTCGTTGCCCAGGTTGGCCTCGAACTCCCGGGCTCAAGCAATCCACCTCGCCTCAGCCTCCCAAAATGCTGGGATTACAGGGATGAGCCATCATGTCCAGCCTCAATAAGTAATTTTTAATCTGATGATTTTTCAATATAGAATTAGCTTTTTTTACGTTTCTAAGTATCATTGTAAGTATATTAATTGTATTTTTAAATGTTCTCTTTTCAATTCTGTGGTATTTGGAGAAGAAAGTAAAAATATAATACATGAATTACAGGGATTGGAATAATATATTTGGAAGCATTTTAGCTTTAGAAAATAAAATGAGACACTACTCTTTGCCATAGTGATAGATTTAAAACCCCTAAGAATAAGCATGGCTGAGGCCCAAGGAATTATTCCTTCTACTTTACTTTCTACTCCTGAGAGCTGCCTGGTTTCCTGTTGTAGAGATGCTTCATTAGTAAATGAAGGGCTGTCACTTCCTTGTTCTGCAGCTTGCCTTCTTCTTTTACTTCTGTCTAGATGTGATAGCTCTCATCAGGCAAATTCCTCAGGCTGTCTCTTAGATTGCAAAAAATAGGACAAGTGGAACTGCTCAGTTTGGGAGGCAGTGTGGTAGAGTATGTAAGAGTATAGACTTGGAGCTGGGTGTGGTGACTTGTGCCTGTTAATTCTGGCTACTTAAGAGATTGAGATGGGAGGATCACTTAAGTTCGAGGCCAGCCTGAAACATAGCAAGACCCCCATCTCTAAAGAAAAAAAAATTTTTTTTTTTGAGCCAGAGTCTTGCTCTGTTGCCCAGGCTGGAATGCAGTAGTGCAATCGTGGCTCACTGCAGCCTCTGCCTCCCAGGTTCAAGTGATTCTCCTGCCTCAGCCACCAGAGTAGCTGGGACTACAGGCGCACACTACCACTCCCGGCTAATTTTTGTATCTTTAGTAGAGACAGGGTTTCACCATGTTGGCCAGGATGGTCTCAATCTCCTGACCTTGTGATCCGCCTGCCTCGGCCTCCCAAGAAAATGTTTTTAAAATTAGCTGGTCATGGTGCTGCGTGCCTGTAGTCCCAGCTACTTGGAAGCTGAGGCAGGAGTATTGCTTGAGCTTAGGAGTTCGAAGTTACAGTGAGCTATGATTGTGTCACTGGACTCAGCCTGTGTGACAGAGTGAGGCACTGTTAGGAAGATCACTTTCAACCCAGGAGTTCAAGGCCATCCTGAGCAACAGTGAGACCCTGTATCTAAATTAAAAAGGAAAAAAAAAGAGTATAGACTTTGGAGCTAGATGGCCTGGGTTTGAATTTCATCTCTACACTTACTTACTGTATAACTTAAGGCAAGTAACTTAATTTCTCTGGGCCTCTGACTTTTCTGTCAAACGGAGATAGTGATAATACTTAACCTCATAGATTTGTTGTGAGGATTAAGGAGGAGGTACTTAAGAGGAGGTGAAACACTAAAACACTTAGAACAAACCTGCCAAAACACTTAGAACAAAGAACCCAGTAAGTGGTGGTGATGGTGGTGGTGGCGATGGTGATGCTTGAATTTTGGTATTGGAATTTGTTTATAATACTATTTAAGTAGATGTTATTGCTCACATTAACTTTTTAATTTTCAGATGAAGTGGCTGTAATTGATGAAATTCAAATGATTAGAGATCCAGCCAGAGGATGGGCCTGGACCAGAGCACTTCTAGGTTGGTGGTGGTAATGCTATAAAACCCGAACTTCATGACATCTGCACTGAGATGCATTTTTATCTGCTTGCCATTGCCAAATAGAGTCACCTAGAACCTTTCATTTGACACAAAAAAGTCAACTAAGTATTAGTTTTTATTTTCTAAATATTATTTTAATAATGGGAAATCCATTTTTTCCTGTGCTAAAACTAGCATAACCATGTAATTAAAGTTAAAATGTTAAAATCTCATATTTACACAACTACAATTTATGTTTTAGTGTGTTTCATGCTAGTCTTTTTTTTTTTTTTGTATGTGCATATGGTGTTTTGAGAACATCTAATTTTGTATCTTGCTTTTGTTCAGTTCTGTTTTTCATGTGATATTTTTCATATTACATATTAATATGATCACATATCTCTGTTGAAGGGGAATACCGTAATTTGCTCCATAGAGTTGGACCTTTTTTTCCCTATTACTAATAAGGCTGCAGTAAAAATCTTTGTGGCCAAAGCTTTTTATTTTTTGAGACAGGGTCTTGCTCTGATGCCCAGGTTGGAGTGTGGTGGCACAGTTGTGGCTTACTGCAACCTTGACCTCCTGGGCTCAAGCAGTCCTCCCATCTCAGTCTCCCGAGTAGCTGGAATGACAGCTGTTTGCCAACGTGCCCCTGGTTAATTTTTAAATTTTTTGTAAAGACAGAGTCTCCCTATGTTTCCCAGGCTGGTCTTGAACTCCTGGGCTCAAACACTCTTCCCACAGCCTCCCCAGATGCTGGGATTATAGGCATGAGCCACTTCACCCAGATTATTTTCTTTTTTTAAAATTATTTCTTTAGAATAGCCTCCTGTAAGTGGAGTTCTTGAGGTCCATAGACATAAGTGAAAATTTCTGCTACTCGATGTTGGAGTGAATTTTTGATCATGTTTTAGGGCAGGTGTTTTCAAATTTAAAAACAAATAGCTGAACGTGGCTGGGTGCGGTGGCTCAGGTCTGTAATCCCAGCACTTTGGGAGGCCGAGGTGGGCAGATTGCTTGAGGCAAGGAATTCAAGACCAGCTTGGCCAACATGGCGAAACCCCATCTCTACTAAAAATATAAAAATTAACCAGGCATGGTGGCGCATGCCTGTAATCCCAGCTGCTTCAGAGGCTGAGGCACAAGAATCACTTGAGCCTGGAAAGGAGATGTTGCAGTGAACCACGGTGAACCAAGACCACACCACTGCACTCCAGCCTAGGCGACAAAGCAAGACTCTGTCTCATGAGAGAAAAAAAAAAAAGCTGAACTCTTTTTTTAAACAAAGAATATACATTGAAACCTGTTATGTAAAGTAGATGGAAGTGTATCTGCTCAGGGATAAGGAGCTTGGAGTTTCTTCTGCCCTCCAACCCCCAACCTCTGAGGTACCTCAGCGATTCCATGGATCCTAATTTGAAAAACACAAGTATAGGACCTATGTTCAGTACTAAGCATCCAAATGCCAGCTTGTAATCTTGGCTGGTTTCACTCTGCTAGAGTTGAAACCTTGGCCAAAGCAATTTAAAAGGCCTGAGATTAATAAAAATTGGATAATCTTGGCCCACTAGAAGTGGGTGGTTATTCGAGGTTTGCATCAGAGATAATATTTTTGAAAATACTTGGTAAGATTGTAAAGCAATATGTAAGCCAACGTAAAGTACTTTAGCTATGTAAAATGTTGCATATTTAATTATAAATCTTTAAAATTAAGAAACCCAGTTTTGCATTGACAGGACTCTGTGCTGAAGAAGTTCATTTGTGTGGAGAACCTGCTGCTATTGACCTGGTGACGGAGCTTATGTACACAACGGGGGAGGAAGTGGAGGTATTCGATTAGATGCTTTGGTCTCCAGGTGGCATATCAAATAGTCCAGAGTACCTAGGTAGTGGCTTCAGAGGCCCTAGATAATGCCAATGTCAGAACTTAACTAAAAAGAAAGCTTCATTTTCTTGTGATCAACTAGATCATATATATTTGATTGAACCTCATGATCTGAAGTTCTGACAGAGTGGTCATCATACCCTAAGTCTTCCAAGAGTACAGGAAATTCTTCACTTCTTGACAAAACCTTCTGGGGCTTGAGTAGATCTCTTCAAATTAAATAAATCAGTATTCTTAGAAGTTTGAGACCCACCAAGTTCATCATTTTCAAAGTCTTGTATGTCAGATATTGGGGCCTTTGATACACATCTAATTGCCAGACACAGTTTATATTCCTTTTTCAGATTCTTAGAGTTGGAAGTAACTGGTTTCCTTTTAATCCTTCTTCTCTTTTTCTTTACCAGAGTTCTATGATAAAATGAAGTATTATTATTATTATTACTATTATTATTATTATTATTATTATTTGAAACAAGGTCTCACTCTGTTACCCAGGCTGGAGTGCTGTGGTGCAGTCACAACTCACTGCGGCCTCAGCCTTCTGGACTCAAGTGATCCTCCCACTTCAGCCTCCCAAATAGCTGGGACTACAGGTGTTTGTTTGCCACCACGCCCGTCTAATTTTTTATTTTTTTGTGCAGAGGGCATCTCACTATGTTACCAAGGCTGGTCTCGAACTCCAGTGCTCAAGCAGTTCTCCTACCTTGGCCTCCCAAAGTGCTGGGATTATAAGCATAAACCAAGGAAATAGTTTTGAATTCGCCTGTTATTTTAGTTTTTTGCTCAGTTTTCAAGGAGAGATAGTGGAATATAGTAGAAGAAATTTTGGAGTCCATTCTGTGTTTTGCCATTCTTAGCTTTGCATTCTTTCTTTCTTTTTCTTTTTTTTTTTTTCTGAGACGGAGTTTCAGTTTCCCAGGCTGGTGTGCAGTGGCGCGATCTCGGCTCACTGTAAGCTCCGCCTCCCGGGTTCACGCCATCCTCCTCCCTCAGCCTCCTGAGTAGCTGGCACTACAGGCACCTGCCACTATGCCCGGCTAATTTTTCTGTATTTTTAATGGAGACGGGGTTTCACTGTGTTAGCCGGGATGATCTTGATCTCCTGACCTTATGATCTGCCTGTCTCGGCCTCCCAAAGTGAGCTTTGCATTCTTTAGACAAGTCACAGGTGAGACTTGCAAAATGTGCCTCAGATGTTAATTTTTTATTGGGCTCAGTTTTACTGTTTTATAAAATGGAAATAGCAGTTAATAACCTTTCTGAACTTAACACATTGCCATGAAAATGAAATATATGAGAAAAAGCTTTGAAAATGCATGAAACACTGTGTTTCATCTTATTACTTTAGAGATGCCAATGAGAAGTGATGGTAACACTTAAAATAACAAAATAAATGTTTTTCTGTGTTTTCTTTTGAAAAAAATTGGTACTTATCAGTTTTTAGCTTAACTGCATTGCAAGCTTTTCACTTAATTACTAGTCACAAGAAGTTGAGTTGGGTGTGTCACTTTGCCATTTCATGTCTTTATTGTAGGTTCGAGACTATAAGAGGCTTACCCCCATTTCCGTGCTGGACCATGCACTAGAATCTTTAGATAACCTTCGGCCTGGGGACTGCATTGTCTGTTTTAGCAAGAATGATATTTATTCTGTGAGTCGGCAGATTGAAATTCGGGGATTAGAATCAGCTGTTATATATGGCAGTCTCCCACCTGGTAATTATTGACTTTCATCATGACAAGATATGAAATCTCCTATCTTTGCAATTTATGTTGAGATATGTATAAAAAACATAGTAAACAATATTGAATTAAACTGCTTGATTGTATTGGTAATTTGTTAAACATCATATAAAATAAATAATTTTCTGTTTCATTTAGCGGAAATAGAAGTATTTTCATTATAGTTCTTGTTAGTTGCTGCTATTATTAGACCGTATCTTAAATGTTGAGTTTACTAATATTTTCTTACAGAAATGTCATTGAAATCTGGACTTGACCATGTCCTTTTAAGTTGTAGTCCTGAAATCTGTGTCCTCAGGAATAAGTCTAGTGTGGTGGGGGATTGTGTTGCTATATGACGGAGTATTTGAAGGAATGGATGTAAAGGATAAGTAGCTCCTTGAGGATATAAAGAAATAAAGTTTGAAACAGTAAAGGTTTTATCATTAAAAATGGGAAGAACACGAGTGAGGGTTTCCAAGATGTACTTAGCTCGATGTAATAAAACACTGAGAACACTGATTTAACATAAATTGTTCTTGTTTTAGGGACCAAACTTGCTCAAGCAAAAAAGTTTAATGATCCCAGTGACCCATGCAAAATCTTGGTTGCTACAGATGCAATTGGCATGGGACTTAATTTGTAAGTAATTTGATTTTAATAAACATGAATATTCAGTGAGTTGAATGGTGGTTTTTTGTTTTTCAATTTTCTAATTGGCATTAATGACCAAACACTTTGATTTGGGAGAATAAATATTATAGGCTAGATTTGAGATTTATCCATAAAAAGAAAATATTAAATAGTGCCAGGACTTTTTTTAGGGACAGGGTCTTGCTCTGTTACCCACGCTGGAGTGCAGTGATCCAATTGTAGCTCAGTGCAGTTTTGAACTCCTGGGCCCTAGCGATCCTCCTGCCTCAACCTCCAGAGTAGCTGGGACCACAGGCACACACCACAAAGCCTGGTTAATTTTTTATTTTTTTGTTGCCCAAGCTAGTCTCTAACTCCTGGCCTCCTGTGATCTTCTCACCTCAGCCTCCCAAAGTGCTAGGATTGCAGGCATGAGCCACTACACTCGGCCCACACTAGGGCGTTTGAGTGCTGTCCTCCACTACTGCTAACCTATCATACTATGTCACTTTATTTTCAGTTTTTCAGTCAGGTGTCCAAGTGCCTAGTATGCATGTGGGGCTAGTTATTATCTCTAAATGAAAACAATGTTAAGCCTAAATATTATTTATTTATGTATTTATTTATTTTTGAGACAGTCTCACTCTGTGCCCCATGCTGGAGTACAGTGGTATGATCATGGCTCACTGCAGCTTCAAACTCCGGGGCTCAAGCAGTCCTCCTGCCTCAGCCACCCAAGTACTAGAGCTACAGGCACACACCAACGTACCCAGCTGATGTTTTTAATTTTTTGTAGAGACTTGGGTCTTGCTATGTTGCCCAGGCTGGTTTTGAACTCCTCACCTCAAAACAATCCTCCTGCCCCAGCCTCCCAAAGTGCTGGGATTATGGATGCGAGCCACTGTGCCAGACGTTCCTTAATTTTTTAAGTGGCAGTCAAGGTTGCAAGAGGACCTAAGCTAGTATTGGAGTGAGCATTATGCAGTGACCCAAGTATTGGAGAGTTTTTCATACAGTCTGCAGGATCACTTTTATTTCTGTTTCAGGAGCATAAGGAGAATTATTTTTTACTCCCTTATAAAGCCCAGTATCAATGAAAAGGGAGAGAAAGAACTGGAACCAATCACCACCTCTCAAGCCCTGCAGATTGCTGGCAGAGCTGGCAGATTCAGCTCGCAATTTAAAGAAGGAGAGGTTACAACAATGAATCACGAAGATCTCAGTTTATTAAAGGAAATTTTGAAGAGGCCTGTGGATCCTGTAACGGTAAGGTGTAACATGTTAATTACTACTTCTCTGTGGAGGACAGTCATTCTTTCCCTCACCCACCATCCAGACTCTCGTCTCAGACACATTTCTGGATACAGACATAAGTGAAAGAAAGTTTTGTGCCATGAAAACTGCATTTAAAAAAGCCCTACTTTATTGCTTTGGAGAGCCATGGAGATCCTTTGATCAGAGAATGGTATGCAAGTGAAGGTCCAGATTGACAAAGTTTAGTGAGCCTGATTTGCCTTTAGTTCCTTCTGCAATCTAGCAGCGGGAAGGAACAGGGAGGAAAGCAGTTGCTTCAGCTGAGCACACAGAGCTACATTAGTGGACTGAAAAATGACCAGAAGCCTGAATACAGACGAAACCCTTGAGTATGGGGCAAAAACAGCCCTAAACAATACAACTTCATCCAGTGAGGAGGTGGTTAAATTTTGGTTAATATTAGTTAATGAGTTACAATTGTACATATTTGAAACAAACTTTCTATTAATAGTTAAAATTTAAAGTTGCCTGGAAAATTCACTTACATGGCTTATCTCATTTGTCCGTGACATTAGATGAAGGGGAATATAGACATGAGATCATGCAGGGAGAAGCTTCCAGGGGAAGGCTGTGCTAGAATCATTTCTGTAACTTCTTAGCAGTACAGTTAGGTTCGTGGGTGGCTCCCGTGACCTCCCTGCCTCCCTCCTGGGCACCTCATGTCTTGAACTCTTCTTCCCTCATGACTAATCTCTCTTGCCTCTTTTCCTCTTTGTCTTTTTCATTCACTTTCTCTCTCTCTGTTTCATACTCCATTCCTTATACTTACCTGTGGCCGTGTCTAAGCACTGTAATGTGCAGTGAAGAGAACTCACTTCCAGTTCAAAAATGCTCTCATGTCTTTCTAGATGTGTGTATGTATGTTAGTTTTATGGCCTTAGTTAAAGTGACTGGGTTTTTCTTATTCATTTTAATTCAGTGAGGAGAATTGAGACATGGAAAATAGTTTTACCCTGGAAAACAGATTTTTCTTTCCTTTTTTTTTTTGAGATAGTGTTTCACTCTGTTACTCAGGCTTCAGTGCCGTGGCATGATCATAGCCCACTGTAACCTCAATCTGCTGAGCTCAGGAGATCCTCACACCTCAGCCTCTTGAGCAGCTGGGACTTTAGGTGCTCACCACCATGCTTGGCTAATTTTTAAAATAAATTTTGTAGAGATGGGATCTCCTTATGTTGCCCAGGCTGATCTTGAACTACTGTCCTCAAGTGATCCTCCCACCTTGGCCTCCCAAAGTGTTGGGATTAGAGGCATGAGCCACACCACCTGGCCATAAAATCTTTTTTTTTTTTTTTTTTTTTGCTTTATGAGACGGAGTCTTGCTCTGTTGCCAGGCTGGAGGGCAGTGGCGCGATCTCGGCTCACTGCAAGCGCCACCTGCTGGGTTCAAGCGATTCTCGTGCCTCAGCCTCCAGAGTAGCTGGGATTACAGGCGCCCGCCACCACGCCCAGCTAATTTTTGCATTTTTAATAGAGACGGGATTTCACTATGTTGGACAGGATGGTCTCGATCTCCTGACCTCGTGATCTGCCCACCTCGGCCTCCCAAAGTGCTGGGATTACAGGCGTGAGCCACCGCGCCCGGCCCATAAAATCATTTTTTATACGCTGTCAGATCATCGTAGGTTTTAGAAATATGACTAAAATGTAAGCAAAAGATAATTTCTCAGTAGCCATAATCTTTCATTTTTACTAAATCATCTCATCAGCTTTTCTAATTGGTAATAAATGGTAAAATGATATATTTTCTTTTACTCAAACTCTTGGCATTTACTTCATTTGGTGAGAGTTTAGCTTGAATGTATTTATTTGGTGAGAGCTTAGCCTGAATAGGACTTTATCATGCAATAACTTAAGAAAATTTGTCGTTTTTTTTTTTTTTTTAAATCAGCTTATGATTGTTTTTTCTTTTACTAAAAGGCAGCTGGTCTTCATCCAACTGCTGAGCAGATTGAAATGTTTGCCTACCATCTCCCTGATACAACACTTTCCAATCTCATTGTAAGTGGAAACTCCCTTTCGAATCTCTTCTAAAAATGTTGATATGTCAAGTGATTACTGCTTAACCCCATGAGCATGAATGGATAGTCTGCCTTTGAGAAGTTGCTATTTATAAAATTTATTTTACAAGCGAAAACTTTTTCTCAAAATCTTTTGGGACTTTAGTCTTGAGGAATTTCCTCTCAGTATTTCAGGTGGGGAAGGATACGAGGGAGTGATTAAAGCAAGCCTTTATGGAAGTTTGTTCTGGATTAAAGAGATTGCCTTTTATAGGCTTGAGTGTTATTCATTGTTCATTTTAATTGACTTAGGCAGTCCAGTAATTTCATATCTTTTTTCCCCAGGATATTTTTGTAGACTTTTCACAAGTTGATGGGCAGTATTTTGTCTGCAATATGGATGATTTTAAATTTTCTGCAGAGTTGATCCAGCATATTCCATTAAGTCTGCGAGTGAGGTATATTTTCTGCACGGCCCCTATCAACAAGAAGCAGCCTTTTGTGTGCTCTTCACTGTTACAGGTAAGCCTTTATCTTTAAGATATTTTGAGTTCCTTCAGGTTCATACAGTTTCCCCAAACAGTACTTTGTTATTCAACATAAAACAATTAGAAGAGTACTCTGTAATATGAGAGACTTTGTAAAAACTTAAATAGGGATTAATAGTAGCAGTAGTGTTCAGTTTTCTTTTTTTTTTTTGAGACGGAGTCTCACTCTGTCGCCCAGGCTGGAGTGCAGTGGCCGGCTGTCAGCTCACTGCAATCTCCACCTCCTGGGTTCACACCATTCTCCTGCCTCAGCCTCCCGAGTAGCTGGGACTACAGGCGTCCGCCACCTCGCCTGGCTAGTTTTTTGTATTTTTTTTAGTAGAGACAGGGTTTCACCATGTTAGCCAGGATGGTCTTGATCTCCTGACCTTGTGATCCGCCCGTCTCGGCCTCCCAAAGTGCTGGGATTACAGGCTTGAGCCACCGCGCCCAGCCGTGTTCAGTTTTCTTAAGTGTAAAGCACTGAGCCAGGAGTTACTGTCTTGTATGAGCGCCATGCCAGGGTTCTAGCCCCTTTTTACTCATTTGGGCAGGGATGCAAATCTCTGACTTCTGAGAAGCACAGGATTCCTGGGGGCCAGGAAGGACAGTGGACACTGAACTTCCTGCCCCGACTTGCTGTTCTCTCACCTCTCTGGGACCTTGCCCGCCCTATTTCCTCTGCTTTGCATGCTCTCCCCACCCCACTAAACCCAAAGGCCTCCCCTTCTCTGAATCTTGTCCTGACTCACTGAGGTTCATTGCCATTTCCTCTGTAGGCCTGAGCATTCTGCATACGAGCTATATTCTAATCAAATCTATCTCTAAACTTATTTTTTAAATAATGTAAATAGTCCAGTGCTGTGGCTTATGCCTGTAATCCCAGCACTTTGGGAGGCCAAGGCAGGAAGGCCAACTCTGCTTAAGCCTAAGAGTTCGAGAACATCTCCAGCAACATAGCAAGACTCTGTCCTTTAAAAAAAAAAATTACATAAATAATACATACATTCTCTTTATACAAAATGAAAACATTACAGATAGCTTAAATGTGGCTCCCTCCCAATCTTAGTCCTCTGAAATAACTACTTGTGTAAGTTTGTGTGTATCTTTGCAGACTGTTTTTCACTGCGTTTGCCTACGTGCATGTTCATATGGAAACACTAGATTTGTGAGGGTGCGTTTCCCTGTAAAAAATTATCTTTTGTGTTTTGAGACAGAGTCTCACTCTGTCGCTCAGGCTGGAGTGCAGTGGTGCCATCTCAGCTCACTGCAACCTCTGCCTCCTGGATTCAAGCAATTCTTGTGCCTCAGCCTCCTGAGTATCTGGGCTTACAGGCACGTGCCATGCCTGGCTAATTTTTTCATATTTTGTAGAGGCAGGGTTTTGCCATGTTCCCCAGGCTGGTCACGAACTCCTGAGCTCAAGCAGTCCACCCGCCTCAGCCTCCCAAAGTGCAAGGATTACAGGCATGAGCCATTGTGCCCAGCCCCATCAACGTTATCTTAATGAATTACTCACAACTTGCCTTTTCTTTTTCTCTTAACAATATGTGTTAGAGACCTTCCATGTCCAGATGTTTACCTAGAAAATATGTTTCTTAGAGCTGGCATTTGTGAAAAACTTAGCTAGCATAAGGTTGAAGTTTATGGAACAATCTTAAACTGCTGTAAACTGACCTGAGTGGAACTCAGTCCCATGGCCTTGGCCCCATTCACACCATCCTTTAAAGAGCTATTCTAGTGAATAGAAGCTCTTTACTAAAGTGTAGGGAGTCTCTTTAACGTGCAGGTCAACAGTTGCTTGTTTTCTTAAGGTCTCGCTATGTTGCCCAGGCTGCAGTGCAGTGGCGCAATCATAGCTCACTGTAACCCCAAACTCCTGGGCTCAGGCGATCCTTCCACCTCAGCCTCCTGAGTAGCTAGGACTACAGGTGTGCGCCATGATGCGCTGTGTGTTTTCTTTTTGAGATGAAGTCTCCCTCTGTTGCCCTAGCTGGAGTGCAGTGGCATGAACTTGGCTCACTGCAACCTCCGCCTCCCAGGTTCAAGTGATTCTCCTGTCTCAGCCTCCCAAGTAGCTGGGATTACAGGTGCCCGCCACCACGCCTGGCTAATTTTTTGTATTTTTAGTAGAGATGGGGTTTCACCATGTTGGCCAGGCTGGTCTCAAACTCCTGACCTCAAGTAATCCACCCACCTTGGCCTCCCAAAGTGCTAGGATTATAGGCGTGAGCCACCGTGCCTGGCCGCTCCATGTGTTTTCTGTTTGAAAATTAGAATATGAAATCTAGAGGCTTTTCCTTTTTTCTTGATCTTTGTCATTACTGAACTATGAAAGAGCTCAATCACACTGATGACTTACCATGCCCCTTAGGACTGTGATTTGGAAGCTGTGCTCCATGGAGCTCCTTTAGGGCCAGCTGCTGGATGGATGGATGGATGGACGGACGGACAGACGGACGGACGGATGGATGGATGGATGGATGGATGGACGGACGGACGGACGGACGGACGGATGGACGGATGGATGGGCGGGCGGGCAGGCGGGCATCTCTCCCTGCCCTCTCTGCATAACTCCTTACTTAGCTCTTTTATGTATTGGGCTTTCATTAGTTGTCTGTGGCCAAAAAAAAATAGAGCTACTGCCTTTATAAGATAACTTGAGAACTCATGCTTGGCCTGTCCTGCCTGGCAGGCAGTGTGGTCACATTTCTGTCTTTTATGGCTATCCTACTTGGCATTTATTAAACTTAGCAGAGTGGACCAGACTGAATTTAACACAATTGTGGCATTATTTAAACACAGTTGGTCTAAAACTACTCTTCCTCTCTGAAGTATTGACCTTGTTTAGGTTAAGCATTTAGAGATAATTTCCCCTAATTAGGAAATGAATCATTTGAAATCAGCTTGAATCTTGAAGCTGAAGATTTTATGTAAACTCTTGCTTGAGGGGTCTTACTGTGTGGTTGTATGTCTATCTTCTGTAGTACAGGTGATGTATAATATTGCCTAATGTCTAGAATGCAACATGGTTTTCAAAGCACATTCCCCAGCAGTGTCTTGTGGTTCAAGACAGGGCTGTGGTGTCTCATGTTACCAGTGAGGAAGCTGAAGCACAGAGTGGTGACTTGGCCAAAGCCACACAGCTCGCAGGAGGCAGAGCCAAGATTGACTTCTGACCAGCCTTGCACCAGGCCACCTCAGAGGGATTCTATATAATAAGGGAGAACATTAACAAGATAAACTTAAGCTCATATTTGAGGTTATAGGACTATTACATAATGAGATAGAAATAGGAGTCTTCAGGTACTGTCTGTCCATAGCTTAGAACATCACATATTCCTAAATAAGAGTTAACAGACAGGCCCTGGAAAGTTAGTCCTTCTACAGCTCTTCTTTTTTTTTTTTTTAAACTGCTCCTTGTGAAGCAGGGATACTCTATAGGTTGTGTGCCCAGAGTAGCCCTTGAACTTCTGCTGCACGTATTATTACCCTGGTTTTAGAAAAAGAAGGAAATCATCTTTTTTTTTTTTTTTTTTTCTTTCTCCAGATGGTCTCACGCTGCTGGAGTGCAGTGGCACGATCATGGCTCACTGCAGCCTTGACACCTCCCCGGGCTCAGTAATCCTCCACCTCAGCTTCCTGAGGAGTAGATGGAATCACAGGCACACACCACCATGCCCAGCTAATTCTTTATGTTTTTTATAGAGATGGGGTTTCTCCATGTTGCCCCAGCTGGTCTCGAACTCCTGGGCTCAAGTGATCTACCTGCTTCAGCCTCCCAGAGTGCTGGGATTATAGACGTGAGCCACTGTACCTGGCCTTATAAAGTATTAAATGTTCTTAACAAAGGAGAAAAGAAACCACCTGTCTGTTGAAATACAACCACAATTAATGTTTTTGTTTTGCTTCCTTATTTTTTCTCTTTCTAATTGTAGACTTAAGGGAATTCTGACACTTCTATGAAACTCTTTTCCTCTTTCCCTCTCAGTTTGCCAGGCAGTATAGCAGGAATGAGCCCCTGACCTTTGCATGGTTACGCCGATACATCAAATGGCCTTTACTTCCACCTAGGAATATTAAAGACCTCATGGATCTTGAAGCTGTGCACGATGTCTTGGATCTTTACCTGTGGCTAAGGTACCAACATTTTTCCTTTATGTGCTCTCATTTTTCTAGTAGGACAAATTAAAGGTTTTATGAATTTGTTTTTCTATTTCAAATTATGGACATATTTGCAAGATGCTCTATATTATGTCTGTTGTCCATAAAGGCAGTTCAACTGATGGAATGGTTTATACCCATTCCAAAAATGACTTGAGTTATTACAATTCTAGTTAAGTTGGCTGGGTGAGAAGGAAGGTCCAGTGGACTCTTGCTGGTCAAAGGACGGTCCTTGGACCAAAAGCACTGGTATCACCTGGGAGCTTGTTAGAACTAAGGAGTATCAGGCCCATCCCTGACTTGATCAGATTCTGCATTTTAACAAGATCCCTGGGTGATTCACTTGTCCATTATCATTTGAGAAGTCCTGTTCTAGGCCAGTGATTCTTAAAGGAGGGGCATGTCCCTCTCTAGGAGTATATCAGAGTCTTTTGAGGTATAGTGCTGACCCTCCCTCAGGATGACATATTCCTCGGATGTGTGGGGGCAGAAATAAAGGTTGAGCAAAGGCACTGAAGAGAGTTTGCAAAAAGAACATTTAGAATTAATCAATGTCAAGATGTAGGTGTGCCATTGAGAGTAGTCCAGTGACTGCAGTAAGAGCTGTTGCCATAATGCTAATGTGTCTTTTTCCCAGCTACCGATTTATGGATATGTTTCCAGATGCCAGCCTTATTCGAGATCTCCAGAAGGAACTAGATGGTATTATCCAAGATGGTGTGCACAATATCACTAAATTGATTAAAGTGTCTGAGAAGCATAAGCTGTTGAATTTGGAGAGCTTTCCATCAGTGAGCCAGTCACGATTGTCAGGAACCTTAAAGAGCCAAGCTAGAAGGACACGCGGCACCAAAGCTCTAGGGAGTAAAGCTACTGAGCCACCCAGCGCCAATGCAGGAGAGCTGTCCCTTGCTTCCAGATTGGTGCAGCAAGGACTCCTCACTCCAGACATGCTGAAACAGCTAGAAAAAGAGTGGATGACACAACAGACTGAACGCAGCAAAGAAAGAACGGAGTCTGGGACTCATCCAAAAGGGACGAGAAGAAAGAAGAAGGAACCTGATTCGGACTAGTTTTCTGTTCCTGGTTTTTTTTTTTTTTTTTAATTTAATTTTGCAAATAAAAATCTATTTTGAATCCTTTTTCCTCGTATGCATTTACTCCCTGCTCTCGTATTGTGGCTATCTGGTACTGGGAGTTTTTTGGTGTTGGAGGGGGGGTGTGCATGTGTGGTTTTTTTTTTTTTTGCACAGAAAAATCACTCTTGATGACTAAACTGTTTTGGTTTTTTTTTTCAACATTTAGAAAATACTAGGATATCATAGAGGTTTAATTTAAATCTTTATATAATGGCCATTTGTAGAATAATACTGAGACAGTGCACCATAAGGAACTCTGCATGGGAATAAAATCGTTTTGGTGAATCGTTTGACCAGCTTCCTATGCCATGCTGAGGATGTCGTGGATGGAATTCTTTGACAAACATTGCTGTCTATTGTACCCATATACCAGAGGCTATTTAGGTGCTGGAAATATGCAGTAAGCAAGACTGGCAATGTTCTACCCTCATGGATCTCATATTTGGTAGGAGAGACAGGAACAGGTTAACAAATCACGTCAGGCCGATGAGGACAGAGATTGTAGTCTGTTTCACTGCTGCATCCACAGTGTCTGGAATATAGCAGAAATCAGTCTTTGTGAGATGAATGGGTGTAATTTTAGAGAAGACTGCTAGAAAGAAGTAGAATAAGTAAAGAGTGATGCTGGGTGGCAGGGATGGGCTGTTTTAGGTAGGGTGGTCTTCCCTTGTCCAAAGGCCAGTCTGATGCATAGTGGCCTATGCTTGTCCAACAAAGTTTTCAACCCTGTTCAGAAACCTAGCTAAAAGGGGTTTAAAGGTGGAAGCTTTGGAATTAGACAAATGTGGTTCCTTTTCTTATCACTCACAGCTTAGTAGCCTTGCCGTCTCTGGGCTTGATCTCACATTTGAAGAAAATGGTCAGTACGCTCACTTAGAGTTGTTTTGGAGGTTAAATGTGATCATGTGCCATTTAGCACAGGGCCTGGCACACAGGAAGCGTTTTATTATATAAATGAACCTGAAGGTTTGGGTCCAGTCTGGGCTGTGAATTGAGCTCTCAGATTATTCTGACAACTGAACTAATTTCTTGAGCAACTATTGAATTGAGGCTGACATCACAGTAGGGATTAAATATGATTTGATTCAAATTGGGTGAGGGAACGTAGCCAGATTTGCAACCTCTCTCTGCTTTTTTCTTCGGTAGTTTAGAGGTGACATTTAACTGAGATGACAATCTTCATTCTGACCTTTGCCTTCATGGAAATAAAGGCTAAGTGGGTGGCACTCAATCTGTATCTGCCTTGCTTATGGATAAACTAGTGAAATGCCTGGAAGGGCTTATCTCTTGATATTCTGCAACGAGGCAACTGCAGCTTCTAAAATTTGCTTACCCCTGTGACTTACACCATAGCAGACATAATCATGCTTGTCCAGATGGTTACAAGAAATATCTATGAACTGAACCAAATAGGGGATTTGGTCCCATTGTATTTAAGTGATGGGGTACATCACTTATAGTGCTGTTAACTCTCCTGTTTTCTCCAGTTTGGGGGCCAGAGTTGGTAAGTCAGAGAAAAGACTTAGGCAACACACTTAAAAACTAAGGCCAGTGGAAAGTCCTGAATATGTTCAATAAGGAAGTGGCTGGGCACTGGCTCATGCCTGTAATCCCAGCACTTTGGGAGACCAAGGCAGGAAGATCGCTTGAGGCCAGGAGTTTGAGACCAGCTTGGGCAACGCAGTGAGACCCCATCTCTACAAAAATTTTAAAAAATTAGCCAGGTGCGGTGGCGTTCACCAGTAGTACAGCTACTTGGGAGGCTGGGGTGGAAGCTGCGGTGAGCAGTGATCATGCCACTGCATTCCAGCCTGGACAACAGAGCGAGACTCTGTCTCTAAATAAATAAGTAAATAAGTTAAATAAAGTTAAAGCCTCAAATAAGAGAGGTGGGGGTGGGAGGTGCTGTAAGGGAAGGGCTGCTTGAACATTTAGCTAATGAGCATTTATAAATAGTGATAGTTTGCCCTTTCAGGCTTCCTTCCCTTGGAGGGAAAAGAGGGCACCGTAGTAAGAAGAGACTAAAGAAAAGATGGCAGCATGTGAAGCAAAACAGGAAGAGTAGAATTGGAGTGGCCCTGGAGAGTTCTCTTCAGTGTACCTAAAATTGTCACCAGGAAAGCAGCCTAGTCTTCCTTCTCTGCAACAAGCTTGACATGTCACTTATCTATCTTTGTGGGCTTCAGGGCCAGCTGAATTCCAGGTGTTCATTCCCATTTCACTATGGTCATGTTGCTCTTTCTGAAAGCCCTTTCCTATCCTTGCAGTCTTCTCACAGATTTTGAAGTACTTGCCTGAGAGCCCTCCTTGGATTATTATGGATTCCACTGAACTTAAACATGGGATGTGGACTAAGGCTTAGAAACTATCACTATACAGACCTGGTAATCTAATAAAATGTGGTTAGAAAATGACTGAGAGTAATGGGCCGGGCGCGGTGGCTCAAGCCTGTAATCCCAGCACTTTGGGAGGCCGAGACGGGCGGATCACGAGGTCAGGAGATCGAGACCATCCTGGCTCAACCCGGTGAAACCTCGTCTCTTAAACTCACCATAGCCGAGCTGAGATGGGGCGCTGTAGTCCCAGCAACTCGGCAGGCTGGGCCAGGAGAATGCGTAAAGCTGGAGGCGGCTTGACTGAGCTGGCATCCCGGCCACTGCCTCAGCTGGGCCGACAGCAGCCAGACTCCGTCTCACCAAAAACAAAAAGAAACAAAAAAAACGATACAAAAAGAATGACTGAGGTAAGTATCCACGTGACTTTAATGTTTTGTTGTTCATAGACATTGTGAAATTATCTGCAAAATGAAACTCTTGAAAAGTGACTTGTAAATCACAAATATATCAACAACTATATCACCAATTAAGTTCCTTTGCTCAACTGAGGTCTGTATTATGTAGTCATTCTTGTTGTCCTAACTCAAACCTATTAGGATGTCAAATGAGTAGAGGTTGTCAGGGCAGGCACTGGATAGGATATCTGCTGAATTTCCTCACCTGTTTTCCAACTTAATCTCAACCTGGCTGGGTGCAGTGGCTCATGCCTGTATCCCAACACTTTGGGAGGCCAAGCAGACAGATCCGCTTGAGCTCAGAAGTTCAAGACCAGCCTGGGCAACACGGCAAAACACTGTCTCTACAAAAAAAGCAAAAATTAGCCAGGCATGTTGGGTTGCGCCCTGTAGTCCCAGCTACCCGAGAGGCTAAGGTGGGAGGATCACTTGAGCCCAGGAGGCAGAGGTTGCAGTGAGCTGAGAAGGTACTACTAACCCAACCTGGGCAACAGTACCACGACCCTGTCTCAAAAAAAATAGATAGGCCGAGCGCGGTGGCTCAAGCCTGTAATCCCAGCACTTTGGGAGGCCAAGACGGGCGGATCACAAGGTCAGGAGATCGAGACCATCCTGGCTAACACGGTGAAACCCCGTCTCTACTAAAAAATACAAAAAACTACGCCGGGCGAGGTGGCGGGCGCCTGTAGTCCAGCTATTCAGGAGGCTGAGGCAGGAGAATGGCGTAAACCGGGGCGGAGCTTGTAGTGAGCTGAGATCCGGCCACTGCACTCCAGCCTGGGCGCGAGAGCTAGACTCTGTCTCAAAAAAAAAAAAAAAAAAAAGATAAACCTCCCACCTATAGTATCTCTAGATAAAGTAATTTTAAATTTTTTTTCTGTTTCTTACATTATTCTCATTCTTTTCTTTTTCCTAGCTTGGTTTGGTTTCTACCTTTATTGTTGGAAACTTGTCTCATGTGTCCTAGTGATCCTTGCCTGTGTTATGTTTAAAGTGAAGAAATAAGCTAATGCAGAGCTCTGTTTATAGCCTAATGCCTTTTTCAGTTTTTATGGAGGGGTGATTGGATGATAAGCTGGCTTTTTAAATGATTCCCCAAATGTCAGTATCTGTAAGGTTTATTTTACTTTATTTTTTTTGAATCAGAGTCTCATTCTGTCGCTCAGGCTGGAGTGCTGTGGCATGAACTCGGGTCACTACAACCTCTGCCTCCCAAGGCTAGGTGTGGTGGCTCACACCTGTAATCCCAGCACTTTGGGAGGCCAAGGCGGGCGGCAGGGAGTGGATCATGAGGTCAGGAGTTAGAGACCAGCCTGGCCAATATGGTGAAACCCAGTCTCTACTAAAAATACAAAAATTAGCTGGGCGTGCTGGTGCATGCCTGTAGTCCCATCTGCTCGGGAGGCTGAGGCAGGAGATCCCCTGAACCCGGGAGGCGGAGGTTGCAGTGAGCCGAGATCGCGCCACTGCACTCCAGCCTAGGCAACAGAGTGGGACTCTGTCTCAAAAAACAAATATACAAACAAACAAAAAGAAAACAACCTCTGCTTCCCAAGTTCAAGCAATTCTCCTGCCTCTGCCTCCTGAGTAGCTGGGATTACAAGCGTGCACCACCACACCCAGTTAATTTTGTATTTTTAGTAGAGACTGGCCAGGCTGACCTCAGGTGATCCCAAAGTGCTAGTGTGAGCCACTATGCCTGGCAGTATCTGTAAGGTTTTTTTTGTTTGTTTTTGTTTTTGAGATGGAGTTTTGCTTTTGTTGCCAATGCTAGAGTGCAATGGTGCGATCTCAGCTCACTGCAACCTCTGCCTCCTGGGTTCAAGCAATTCTCCTGCTTCAGCCTCCAGAATAGCTGGGACTACAGGTGCACACCACCACAGCCGGCTAATTTTGTATTTTTAGTAGAGACGGGGTTTTGTCATGTTAGCCATGCTGGTCTTGAACTTCTGACCTCAGGAGGTCCACCCACCTCAGCCTCCCAAAGTGCTGGGATTACAGGCGTGAGCCACCACACCTGGCCTGTAGGGTGTTTTAAACATAAACTTAAAAAAAAAAAAAGGATAGTTTTAGATTTGCAGAAAAAATGCAAAGATAATACAAAGAATTCCCATATACCCAACACATTTCTCCCATTAATATTTTACATTTCCTCCATTAACATCTTATATTAGTGTGGTACATTTGTTATCATTAGTGAACCAAGACTGAT